AAGCAGGTGTGTCGCTCCCGCCTGCGGTTGGAGTCCCTTTGGGGTCCCCCGGCGGTTCGGGGTCGGGAGAGATGGACGGCCGTGTCCCGCCCGCCGTGGCCTTTGCGGGTCCCTCTGTGAGGGACGCGGCTGGCGTTTCGGCTGATCTCGGCGTCAGGTTCCGTCCGGGGTCCCCCGCGGGGCTCCGTGAGGTGGGGGCCGGTGTGCTTGCCGCCGCGTGGGGGCGTCTGGTCCGGGTTTGAGGATAATGGGGGTTGTGGGGTGCGTGTCCCGGCTGGAGGGTGAGGCCGTTTCCTGCTGTTGATGAACGTGTGTTGTTCGCAGTTGGGCTGGTTATGGACACGCTGCTGTGAGCATCCTTTTTAAAATATATATATATTTTATTGGCTTTTTACAGAGAGGAAGGGGACGGACAGAGAGTTAGAAACATCAGTCAGCTGCCTCCTGCACGCTCCCCACTGGGGATGTGCCTGCAACCAAGGTACATGCCCTTGACCGGAATCAAACCTGCGACCCTTCAGTCCCCAGGCCGAGACTCTATCCACTGAGCCACACCGGCTAGGGCTGCTGCTGTTACAGAAAAACCGGAGAAGAACCAAGCAACGGTCTGAGAGTTTGGAGTTACACTCTATTCACCGCGGTGGGCTTAGAGAAAAGGAATTCAAATTCTAAGCAAAGCTACGAGCAGAACTTCCCTTTTTATGGAAGAGCCAGCCCTTTGTGCGCTTAGTGGTTATCTTGCTGGCGGCCTTGAAAAGTACACCACAGTTCTCAGTTCTCATGGCATCGGGCGAATCTAGTCTCTGGCCTCCAAGGTCAGGCAGCTAAGTTTATCTCCTCATTATTCAAGCAGGCTAGAAAGCAAAGTTATTTTTCAGAATAAGAGGCCGTCTAAAGAATAGCAGGGAATTCCAAACAGTAGTTATACAGAATAGGGGTTTGCCTTCACACTGTGGGCATTCTTGTCCGTGTGTTCCGGCGCCAATGTGCCCTTACTGTGGGGGGCCGGGGGCGGGTACGTGGCTTAGATGTGAACCTCAGAGAAGGCAGCGGACAGAGTCCAGGCAAGTAGTTAAAAGCCCTGTTTTTAATTTTATTTTTTAATATATTTTATTTTTTTTTTTACAGAGAGGAAGGGAGAGGGATAGAGAGTTAGAAACATCGATGAGAGAGAAACATCCATCAGCTGCCTCCTGCACACCCCCTGCTGGAGATGTGCCCGCAACCAAGGTACATGCCCTTGACCGGAATCGAACCCCGGACCTTTCAGTCCACAGGTGGAGGCTCTACCCACTGAGCCGAATCGGTTAGGGCAGAAGCCCTGTTTCTTAGCTCCTTATTCAGGGGTTGGCTGACAGCAGTGGAGAGACAAACCCAGCCTCACCCATAACTTAGTATGAAAGCCGTATTGACATGCATGTTCATATGCGCTGCTCACAGATGTAAGAAACAACACTCCAGCACCCCGTGGTGTTCTGTGTGCCCCCGAATTATATTACATCCTCTCACCCCCAGGTAATTACCATTGCTCTCCACACCGAGCACTTTAAGGCCTTTCTTTATAGTTTTATCATGTAATTAATCACCCCCGATCTTTATAGTTTATTAAGTTTACCTATTTTTAACTATCAATCATCTCACATTATGCATTTTTCAATGTCAGGCTTCTTTTGCTCAGTACATAGGTGTATATTCTTTTGCTCTGTAATGAGGGTCAGGTAACCCTATTCTATAATGTTTACACAGTAATTATTGTAGGAGTTGCAAGCCACAGAATGTCTCTCACATATGCCTCACAAAAAAGTGTTTTTGTTTTACCATTTAAAAAATATTGTTTATTGATTTCAGAAAGGAATGGAGCAGGAGAGAGAGCGATTGAAGTATCAGTGATGAGAGAGAATCATTGATTGGCTGTCTCCTGCACACCTCACACCGTGGACCGAGCCTGCAACCCGGGCATGTACCCTCCTGGTTCAAAGATGGACACTCAACCACTGAGCCACACAGGGCTGTTTTACCATTTTTTAAAAAACCATTAGGTGCCCTCCGCTCTCTCCCTGGGGAGCACCCCTGGGCCTTCCCCTTCCCCCACCTCCTTCCCTCCGGGGGACCTCCCTGTGCCTTTCTCTCTCTCTCCAAAGCTCAAGGGCCACCTTCTTTGGCCTCTGTGACTTGTTTTCTGAGCCCACGCAGCTCAGCTGGCTTAGTGTTTCTACCATTGTCACTTCCTAAATAAACTCTCCTAATACTAGTAATATCAAAAACATATAACATAGCCCAGCCGGGTGTGGCTCAGCGGTTGAGCGTCGACCCAGGAACCAAGAGGTCACCAGTTTTATTCCCTGTCAGGGCATATGCCCATTTGCGGGCTCGATCCCCAGTGTGGGGTGTGCAGGAGGCAGCCGATCAATGATTCTCTCTCATCATTGATGTTTCTATCTCTCTCTCCCTCTCCCTTCCTCTCTGAAATCAATAAAAATATATTTTAAAAAAACATATAACATAAAAACTAAAAACATTGAAAGCATTCTTAGCTTGCAAAGCTGGACCAGGTTGTATGTTCCCCTTAGCCTGCTGTAGTCTGAGTGGATGCCAGTTTTTCTTACTGTTCATTAGAGTCGTGTCCTTTGCAGTCTGCATTGTTAAGAATACTGCTGCCTTGAAAATCCTTGTGCATGGCTTCTGGTTCAAAGGTGCCCTTATTTTGCTCTGCAGGGTGGGGTGGGAGGAAATAAACACCTTAAATGTATACCTCAGAGTGAAAATGCTAGGGTGCGTGTAACTTCACTCTAAATATGATGCATAATGTTTGTACCCTAAGAAATAAGTTTGTTCCCCTTACATTTCCTCCAGGGGACTATAATTCGCTCTATAGTGTGTTCACGTGGCCTGTTTAAAATAGCTTTCCATTACTTAACACATTGAGAAATTTCCCTGTATCTTCACATTTTATTGCTGTGCCCCTCGCATTGAGATTGAGAGTTGTCTACAAAGTGATTTGTGTGTGTTCTGAGGTGGGGTTCAATCTTCTTCTCCCCATCCCCCCCACTTCCAGCGTGGATATCTGATTGTCCCCGAGCCGTTTTTTAGAAAGACAGCCTTACCCTCCTCTCTGCAGAGCTTCCTGTGTTATCAGCGTCTCTATCTGTACGTGAGTCTGTCCGTTTACAGGCATTTCATTCTGTTCTTTGGCTGACTTATCTATTGTGCTAACATGGTGCTGTCGTAATTAAAGTGACTTGAAGCCCTCATAACTGATGGAGCAACTCTTTCACCTGTTTTGAAAGGTGTGTATAGCTGTCAGTAAGGGATTTTGATTGGGATTTCATTGGGTCTTTATATACATTTGGCAGACATGGCATCTTAAAAAATGTTTGCTTTTCTGAGTCATCTTCACAGTCCTTTCCATTTATGTAACTAAGTCTATTAAAATTTCTCTCCAGATTTCTTGCTACTTATGAAATATTTTTGATGTTCTTCCAAAGAACAGGTTATACTTGTTATTTTGTTTGTTGATGGCCTGTAACTGGTAGGCAGTTACTGCAGGAAGGATGTTGTAATCTTGTACTATTAGTCTGAGTTTGTTTATTCTGTTTTTTGGTCCATTTTTACTGTATACATGTCAAGGCTTTATTACTAGGTGCATAGGGACTGCAGACTTAGTTACACCAGATTATTTGTGGTTTTCCTTTTCATAACGTATTTTTTTCTAACCTTTTCTTTCAGGCTTTCCATATCATTGTGTTTCAGATGTGTCACCTATAATGGCATGTTACTCCGTTTCAGATTTTAATTGAGTATGAGAGTTTTGAGGTATTTGTATTTAATGTAATTAATGGGAATTTTTGTTTTGCTTATACTTAATATGATTTTTAGCATGTTTTGTTTGATTTATTTTAAAAACAAATATATATTTTTAATTTTTTAAAATTGATTTGAAAGAGAGAGGGAAACACTTCATTATGCATTCATTGGTTCCACTTATGTATGCATTCATTGGTTGATGCTTGTATGTGCTCTGACCCGGGATCAAACCTATAATCTTGGCATATTGGGATGATGCTCTAACCAACTGAGCTATCCACTAGGGTAGTATGATTACTTTTGAAACAGTCACCTAAGTGTGTTGTATTTGTCTCCATTATTCTCTTTTCTATATTTTATTTCTCACTCTCTTTGTTTTTGCAATGTTTTGGACATTTTTAAAAAATATGTTTTTATTGATTTTAGAGAGAGAGCGAGAGAGGGAGAGAAACATCAATTGGTTTCTCCCCATACACACATGACCAGGGATCAAACCTGCCACCTGACTATGTGCCCTGACCAGGATTCGAACCGGCAACCTTACGGTGCATGGGATAATGCTCAACTAACTGAGCCACACTGCCCAGGGCTCAGGTGTTGTTTTAAAATTATATCTTCCCCATCCACTAGCATGTAAATTATGTACTTTAAGACAACTGTTAGTTTTTATTCTGACACTAGACACTGCATACAACCTGGAACGTTGTTAAATTCTTTTCTTTTTTTTTGGTAATATATTTTGATGATTTTTTACAGAGAGGAAGGGAGAAGGATAGAGAGTTAGAAACATGGATGAGAGGGAAACATCGATCAGCTGCCTCTTGATCCCCAAGGTTTTTTTTTGTCAGTTGATATGCTCATGTGATTTTTGTCTCCCAATTTGTCTAGGTCAGGGGTCCTCAAACTTTTTAAACAGGGGGCCAGTTCACTGTCCCTCAGATGGTTGGAGGGCCGGACTATAGTTTAAAAAAAAACTATGAACAAATTCCTATCCACACTGCACATATCTTATTTTGAAGTAAAAAAACAAAACAGGAACAAATACAATATTTGTATTTGCATGTGGCCCACCGGCCGTAGTTTGAGGACCCCTGCTATCCCCTGAGCCAAACCAGTTAGGGCACGTTGTTAAATTCTTGTCTTAATTAGTACTTTATTCTCTCCTCTGACAATACGGGGATCTTAAAGAACTTCAAATTCATTTACTACCTTCCAGTTCGTTTACCATCTGGATACTTTTGTATATATTCAAAACCCCTAAGATATTAACATTTTTGCTTATGAGACAGAGCTGAGAGCTTGCCCAGTGCACTGGGTTTCTGCCTGAAATGTGTGCAGAAACGTTTGAAGAGGCACCTGAGCACACAAGCTTTGAAGGGAAACAGTGCTCAGACCGTCTCCGTCCACATGCTCTGCTCTGTCTCAGTGATTTTCCTGAGGCTCCCCTGCTCCTGAGGCTGGTGCGGGCATGGATGTCATCTCCCAGGTCTCCTGTGACATGCACCCCACTTAACCTCCACAGGATAAAGGAGTGCCGCCACACAGGTGGGACCTAAGGCTCTCCTGGCCAGAAGAATTCGTACTTCCCGACACCATATGAAGGGACACTAGCAGTCCTGTGGCCTTGTGTGAGGGGAGGGCTCAGAGCAGCGTAGCATCGGGGCCCAGAGGAAATGTACCACCTGTGGAATCCATCCACAGGCCTGACTTCCCAGGAGCAATAGAATCATGTGAAGCAGGAGGAGGCTGTGGGGTTGGGTGTCAGCATTTCCATGACACCCCTGACTGCAGACGGATTTCTCTACAGAAATACAGAGCAGCCCTGGCTGGTTTGGCTCAGTAGGTAGAGCTTTGGCCTGGGGACTGACAGATCCCGGGTTCGATTCCAGTCAAGGGCACATGCCCGGGTTGCATGCTGGATCCCCAGTAGGGGGCGTGCAGGAGGCAGCTGATCCATGATTCTCTCTCATCATGGATGTTTCTCTCTCTCCCTCTCCTTTCCTCTCTGAAATCAATAAAAATATATTTGAAAAAGAAAGAAATACAGAGCAGACCCCAAACACACCAAGGCAGGGCCTCGCCCTTGCGGCTCTTTTCAGAGAACAGAAGGAAATGATCCAGGCTCAGGTGATTGGGTTTGCTTTATCCTTTCTTGTCTTCATTCATGGATGTCTAGAGGCCTATAAAAACCACCTTTGTTAATGTGAATTATATACATATACTATATGTATATCTTTTGTTTCTCAAATACAAAGTGGCGTTTCTAGGTTAACAAGAACAATTTTTTACACATTATTGAAACTTGTAATTGGAGACATCCATGAATGTCTGAATGCATAATTACAAAATACAAGATGGGGCAAAGTTTGTGAGTACACAAACTGCAATTTATTCTTGTATTATTATTTATTAATTATTGCATCATATATTTAAGCTATGTTTTCATTGATCAGAGAGAGAGAGAAACATCCATGAAGGAGAACCATCTACCAGTTGCCTCCTGCATGCCCCTACAGGGGATCAGGCCCGCAACCGGTCATGTACCTTGGCAGGGAATTGAACCTCTGGCCTCTCCTTGCATGGACAATGAAGCTTATCAAACTACTGGCCAGGGCAATTATTGTATTACTAGCGGCCGGTGCATGAATTCGTGCATGGGTGGGGTCCGGCCAGCCCTGCCCGGGTAGGGGCCAATGTGGGCCCGGCCAGCCAGGGGGAGGGGCCACAGGAGGTTGGCCGGCTGGCCCCACCTCCCGCAGTACTTGTCATAACGACCAGTTGTTCTGGTTGTTCTAGTCACTTAGGGTTTTATATATATAAATTTTTCACTTGAGTAACGGTAAACCTACTTTTGCCCCACCCTGTGTTTTACTAGGCATGTAATTATTCCACTATATATAAAATAAAACCCCAGTTGCTACATAGATGCACTTTATAGAGTGACATGCGCAGAAAAACTAACATTTCTTCCACATCATCTAAAGGACATCACGCCGTTACACAACATGGAGTTGTTACCGGAATCCCTGACATTTCACGATGTGGCCGTGGACTTCACCTGGGAGGAGTGGCAGCTCCTGGGCCCCGAGCAGAAGGACCTGTACAGGGACGTGATGATGGAGACCTACAGCCACCTGGTGTCACTGGGTGAGAACAGCTCCCCCGTGTCACTCAGCGGGTGCCCTGTTAGTGGCTTTTCCTTTCTCAGCTGTGTAACTGCTCATAATAACTCCACTTCTCCGAGATGGTGGAATCTCAGGTACTTCTCTTGCTGCAGACAGGAGGGTATTATGTCCCTTCTCCTGAGAGAAAAGTCTTTGTGTTACAGATGGGAAACCCGTTCGTTCCTTGAAATGTTACATTCTCTCTTCTTGACAGAGCCCAGCCCAAGATAATAGGTCTAAGTCTCTGTCCTTGTTCACAAGCAGGGTGTCAAGCCAGCAAACCAGACGCGCTCTCCAAGCTGGAACGAGGGGAAGAACCGTGGACAGTACAGCGTGGACGCCACTGTCCAGTCTCTCCAGGTGAGGGGGTGAGAACCAGCAAGGCGGGCGGCGGGGTAGTCACATTCCGGTCAGAGCTGTGACAGTGAATGAGGAAACTCAAACCTCGCCTCCACGTATTAGAATCCTTGTTCTTTGTAGAAGTTTAGAGGAAAACATACCCTTTCTTATTTTCTGATAAAAAAGCTTATTTTATCCACCTCGTGTTTTTGTTTATGTAGTTTTCTCCCCCCTGGGATTCTCAGATCTTTCTCCTTTTTGTCCACAGTGAGGGTGTCTCTGCCTGTGTTAGCACCTCTCTTGCTATGAAATCCCACTTCCCAGGCCTCTCCGGAAAGACGGAACTTGGAATTCATTGCTTTTTTCTTGCTACTGGGCCTTTGTGCCCTGTTTCCCTCCATAACATCCAACCCACCTTAGGTGCTGGGTCCCGGTGATCATGTGCTTTTCACGGCGCATTCATGTCGTTTGTGTTTGTTTTTGTTTGATTTTAACACTTGTAGTTTTGTTTTGTTTTTTAATATACTTTATTGATTTTCTTATAGCGAGAAAGGGAGAGGGATAGAGAGTTAGAAACATTGATGAGAGAGAACCTTCGATCAGCTGCCTCCTGCACACTCCCTATTGGGGATGTGCCCACAACTAAGATACATGCCCTTGGCTGGAATCGAACCTGGGACCCTTGAGTCCACTGGCTGACGCTCCATCTACTGAGCCAAACTGGTTAGGGCCATGTCGTTCTTCACTCCAAGATTCTTCATACTCAGTTCTCATCTCTCTTAAGATTTCCTCTATTCGCATGAGTTAACTTCTTTCTGTTTTGTGACATAGACTCCCAAATCGACTTCTCCCTCAATATTGTCTAATGTACATTTTCTTTTTAAGTATTTTACTCATCGTCATGGCAGCAGGTCTCTGATTTCCCATTTTGTGGGAGAGCAGGAATCATCTTCCCTTTATTCCTTTTTAAGTCTAGTTTCTCTTTCAGCACTAGACATTTTTACCAGTAATTCTGTCCATCCTGGCATCACCTGGCATGTTCCCTATGTGCTGAGCTGAGCTCCCTTCTTAAAGATCTCTACTCCTTCATTTGATGACAAAAAAAACCTTATCATCCTATGTGAGTTACAGCCCAAACTAGGTCATGACTGCTGTCTGCTTCAAGTGACTTCCATTTTAGTTTTCCTAATTTAGATTTTTCTTTATTCTTAGATGTTATCACTGCATTAACCTTCCTTAAACTTTTGCTTTTATATCATATTTTAATGGCTTTACTTAGATTTAATTTATATAGGATACAATATACCCATTTAAAATATACAGTCAGCCCTGGATGGGTTGCTCAGTTGACTGGGGCATTACCCTGTACACCAAAAAAAGTTGAGGGTTAGACCACTGGTTGGGGCTCAGAATGGGAAGCAACCAATCGATGTTTCTCTCACATTGATATTTCTTTCTCTCTCTCTCTCTCTCTCTCTCTCTCTCTCTCTTTTAAATTAATAAAAACATATCCTCAGGTGAGAATTAGGAAAAAAAATAATATATATATATAGTTGACTAGATTTTAGTATATTTATGTAGTTGGTGATGGTTATTACCACAATCAATTTTGGGACATTTTATATGTATATATTCTAATCATGGCTTTGATTCCGGCAGCTTTGTAGTAATTTTGGAAATTGCAAAGAGTGAATTCTCCAACTCTGTTCTTCTCTTTCAAGACAGTTTTAACATCTGGATCCTTTAGTTTCCATTGTAATATTAGAATCAGCTTGTAAATTTCTGCAAAAAAACGCAGCTAGTATTTTGATAGGGATTACATTAAATATGTATCTGAGTTGGGTAGTAATTTTATCTTAAGCATATTCTGCATCCTAATTGGGGTAATTGGTTGTTTTTCTATCTAATTTGGTCTTTAATTTCTTCCAACAACATTTCATAAGTTTCAGAATAAAAGTTTGACAGTTGTCTTTCTTAAATTTGTTCCTATGTACGATATTCTTTTTTCTTCCTTTTTAAAAAAAATATTTTCTTGATTTTTTACAGCATTAAAGCAAACAGCCATTTTGTGGAGGGGGTCAGCTCTCAGGAAACAGCATGCAGACTCAGGGAGCTGATGTGCTCAGGAAGAGGAATGTACTGTTATACTCGTGGTACAATTTTGATAGTAAAACTATACAGACGCAGAAATAGCAGAGGTGCATATGTAGAATTTGTATATGTTGATGGCATCCACACTGCTATTTTCAGATAAGACTTTTAAAAATGTATATATTCAACCCATATCTTCATGTTTGTACTTGTATTTGTAATAATCACCTTAACTTTTGTTTCACAGTGCACTCTAGCTTTTCCCCTTATTCTGGACTTATTTGTTTCATTGGGAGACATTCCACCTATCTCATCAATCAAGCCATATAATTCTTGGAGTCATCCTTGAGTCCTCACTTTTATTAACTCTTCTGCTTCTCCCATTGAGCCAATCAATGAACCATATCATCTCTTTAAGTACAGGGTGGGCAAAAGTAGGTATACAATGGTGATTAAGTGAAACAGTGTCTATTCTTATATTATTATTTATAGAATATTTTCATTTTACATATGAACAACTGTAAACCTACTTTTGCTCAACCCTGTAAATAATGATTTCGTCCACTTCCCTAGGCCTTTTCTCCTTTCCCAGAGGTCAGTTAGTGGGGCTGAAAATCCGACCATTAGCTCATTTGATCTTGGTAGTGACTAACTCTATCCTGAGAGGATATAGGGAGTATGCTGTCCTCTCATTAGCAGAAATGCAGGTGTTTGTTTTTTTAAAATATATTTTTATTTCAGAGTGGATGGGAAAGGGAGATAGAAACATCAATGATGAGAGAGAATCATTGATCAGCTGCCTCCTGCAACCCAACACTGGGGATTGAGACCGCCACCCAGGCATGTGCCCTGACCAGGAATCGAACCTTTGGTTCATAGGTTGACACTCAACCATTGAACCACAACAGCCAGGCTCAGCTGTTTTTAATGTAGAAGAAAAGATACTTCTGTCACTCAGGAAATTGCAGCGGTTTCACAACATCAATGTCAAGAACTATGCATGGCCCTGACTGGTTTGGCTCAATGCATGGGGCGTCGGCCTGCGGACTGAAGGGTCCCGGGTTCGATTCCGGTCAAGGGCATGTGCCTTGGTTGTGGGCACATCCCCAGTGGGGGGTGTGCAGGAGGCGGCTGATCGAAGTTTCTGACTCTCTGTCCCTCTCCTTCCTCTCTGTAAAAAATCAATAAAATATATTTTTTTAAAATAAAGAACTAATGTATGAAGACCAAATGTATTTTTTATTTTACATCATATAGAATTGTCACTAAATAGTTACTTCACATAACAGCTTTTTACAAAACAGTTTTATTTCAAACAAGGATTGTGAGTGATTCCAGAATGATTCCCTGTTCTCTTCTGTCCTAGAACTCAGGAAGGTGGATGATCTTCTGCAGCATCACGTGCAAATCCAAAGCCTTCAGAAGAGGGTCGACCGAGGCTGTGAACATAGTATGTTAGCAGATACTGTTAATCAGAGTGAAGATCATTCTCTATTCAAGCAAAATTGTGATATGTTTGAGATAAGTGAAAAACCTTTAAAGTCAAATTTAAATTTTGGAAACCAAAACAGAAGTTGTAACTTAAAGAATTCTGTGGAATTGAAGGGAGATGGGATATCCATTCTTCATGCTAACCATGAACAATTTAATTCTGAGATTATGTTTCCTGTCAGTACCAAACCCATTAATAGTCAATCCCAGGTCACTCAGCAACAGAAATCTCACAATGTAGAGAAAGCCCATGTATGTGTTGGATGCGGGGAAGCCTTCATGAAAACGTCTCAGCTCACTGATCATCAGAGAGTTCATACTAGTGAGAAACCCTATGGGTGCAGTCTGTGTGGGAAAGGCTTTAGCAGAAAATCCAGGCTCACTAAACATCAGAAAATACATACGGGACTCAAACAGAATGAATGCACTGAATGCGACAAAACCTTCCTCAAGACATCCCAGTTCAATAAACATCAGAAAAGTCACATGAAAGAGAAACCTTATACGTGTAGTGAATGTGGGAAAGCGTTCATCATAAAGTCTCTTCTCATTTATCATCAAAGAACTCACACTGGAGAGAAGCCTTATACATGCAATGAATGTGGAAGGGGTTTTACCAAGAAGTGTCATCTTATTGAGCATCACCGAACTCACACAGGAGAGAGACCTTATACATGCAGTGAATGTGGGAAGGGCTTTATCCACAAGAGTCATCTTATTGAACATCTCCGAACTCATACAGGAGAGAAACCTTATACATGCAGTGAATGTGGGAAAGGATTCTCAGTGAAGCACCACCTCATAGGACATCAGCGAACTCATACAGGAGAGAAACCTTTTTTATGCAGTGAATGTGGGAAACGATTCTCATGGAAACAGTGCCTTATTGGACATCAGCGAATTCATACTGGAGAGAAACCCTATGTATGTGTTGTGTGTGAAAAAGGCTTCCCCTGGAGGGGTGCTCTCACTATACATCAGCGAAGTCATACTTCAGACAAACCATATATGTGCAACGAATGTGGAAAGGGCTTCACCGTGAAGAGTCGGCTGATTATACATCAGCGAATGCACACAGGAGAAAAGCCTTTTTTATGCAGTGAATGTGGGAAAGGCTTCTCATTGAAGCAGGGCCTTGTTGAACATCAGCGAACGCATACTGGAGAGAAACCCTATGTATGTGTTGTGTGTGATAAAGGCTTCACTATGAAGCGTAATCTCACTGTACATCAGCGAAGACATACTTCAGATAAACCATATATGTGCAATGAATGTGGAGAGGGCTTCACTGTGAAGAGTCGTCTGATTGTACATCAGCGAATGCACACAGGAGAGAAGCCCTATGTATGCAGTGAATGTGGAAAAGGCTTCCCAGTAAAAATATACCTGACTGTACATCAATGGACTCATACAGGAGAGAAACCTTATGTATGTAGTGTATGCAGGAAAGGTTTCACAGCGAAGCAAAATCTCATTAGACATCTGCTGAAACATACAGGAGAGAAGCCCTATGTATGTAATTTGTGTGGAAAAGGGTTCACCATGAAGACTGACCTCACTTTACATCAGCAAACTCATACTTAAGAGAAACTGTATGTGCAGTGCATATGAGGAAGGCTTCATTGTGAAGAGTATACTAGATATACATCAGCAAAACTCATGCTGCAGAGAAGCCCTACACGCAAGAATTGTGATGAAGTCTTTAAGAAGATGTGCGTTGTACAACGTCAGAGATTTCACTCAGGAAATACTTGCTTTGCATGGATTGAATGTGGAAAATTCTCATTCAGCAAAAATGATCTTGTTACCCACCAGAGAAATCACATGGGTGAGAAACCCTATTGATGTAATGAATGTGGGAAAGCCTTCACTACAAACTCAAGACTTTTATATTCATCAAAGAACACATACAGGAGGGAGGCCCTAAGAATGCAGCAATCGTGGAAAAGCTTCTGACCACTTGTCATTTTTAAACAAGAGATTTCATAGGTGTTTGCTTTGGGGAAAGCCTGTTTCCAACTTTAGGCTCTCAAGGTAATAGTATGCAATGAAGAATAACTGAATGCAAAAGGAGAGATGGGGGGAAAAAAGAATTAAGTTACTGTAAAGAATGTGGTATTGCGAAACCTGTTTGGCTCAGTGGATAGAGCGTCGGCCTGCGGACTGAAAGGTCCCAGGTTTGATTCAGGTCAAGGGCATGTACCTGGGTTGCGGGCACATCCCCAGTGGGAGATGTGCATGAGGCAGCTGATCGATGTTTCTCTCTCATCGATGTTTCTAACTATCTCTCTCCCTTCCTCTCTGTAAAAAGTCAATAAAATATATTTTTTAAAAAGAGAATGTGGTACTGTCTTTCTTGGTCAATTACCTCATTTTATATCAAAAAATTACAAAACAACTCAAATACAATCAGCCTTGATTAAAATATTTTAGGACATTATATGTCGAAGAAATTTATCCCGATGTAAATCCTATGAATGTGACAGTAGTAAATTCTTTAGTGGGAAGTAGACCCTATCACATGTGATCAGATCATGATCAAATGAATATTTCTAATTGTTTGAAAGCATCTGCCCCAAAAGTAAGACTTCGATAGATGTCAGTTCACACTAGAGAAATACTTTTCTCTGTCAGGAACATGGCATAGATTGCATAATTCATGTTGCCTTATTTGCCACAAATCCATGCAGAAATAACTCATGAACACATTCAATTTGGTGGTCTTTCGCAAATGAAGAGAAGCCTTGAATGAAAAAGCATTCTGTCACAAGTCTGAACAGAAAATATACCTCACAAGCCTTTGTGGACAGAATACCTTCAACAGTATTTCTACTCACCTTGCCTTTGATTTTATAAGTTTTAAACCATGACAATTACTCTCATTGTGAATTAAATTTTAATATATACAACACATGACTGGTCTATGCCTGTTTAAATCTCTAATTAAATATTGCACTTCTTTCTATTTTTGGGTTATTTCAGAATACTTGAAGTACATGTAAATGAATATATTCATTTATAAGGATAATATTTTAATGTGTTTGACTAAGTTTATAAGTAGCATCAAGTAGTTTATAAAATTAATATAAATGTGATTTTTAATTTTGAAAAAAAAACTTAATTTTGAAATAAGCTTAGAATCACAAAAACTGAAATTTTCTTGAGATTTCCAAATGCCCTTCATCTATCTATTTACTTCCAAAGGTAAAACCTTACATAGTCACAGTTCATTCTCAAGTAGAGTAAAGTGAAATTGTTACAGTGCTCTTAACTATAGGTTTTATTTGTATCTCCAGTTTTAGCGAACACTCATTTTTGTTTGTTTTATTATATATAATTTAAGGAAATTTTATCACATGTAGATTTTTGTAACCATAGTAGAAATTCAGAAAGTTTTGCTATCACAAACTCCTTCAGGCTATCTTTCATTCTGATTTCAGAGAACAGAAGGGAGAGGGTGATAGAAACATCAATGATGAGAGAGAATCATTGATTGGCTGCCTCCTGCACACCCCCTACCAGGGATCACGCCTGAAACCCAGGCATGTGCCCTGACCGGTTATCGACCTGACCTGGTTCATGGGTTGATACTCAGCCACTGAGTACCACGGTCCAACTACCTTTTCATAGTCACATCCTTGCCCTGACCTTAGTTTTTGGCATCATTGCTCTCTTTGTATCTGTAATTTTATCATGTATGGAATATTAGAAAAATTGAGTCATTTGACATGTATCCTTCTCAGATGGGCTGTTTGAACTTGTAAGAATACATATTGGTCTCTGCCTCTGGTTCCACGTACAAATTGCCTGGAACGCCTGTAAATTTCTAAGTGATAACAGGGGAGAGGGTCTGGAAGTACAATTCATGGTCAATCTTGCCTATTTGAGGAAGGATTCATAAACATCCCTATAGCTGGATATTCTGAGATCTTCCAGGTGGGTAAAGACATCCAGGTATGGGAAGGGTGATGCACCCTCATTTCATGGGGACAGATGCTGTGCTTGGGACTCCCAGACCTTGCAGAGTGTATCTCTATCTGCCTGTTCATCTGTAACCTCAATGATGAATGTGTAGTTAGATGTGTATTATCACTTTAACTTTGGTAAAATGTCTGGTCACTTGTAACTGTCTATGACTTCTGGCAATTTTTTAATTAAAGGAGCAGGGAAACAACAAAGATATATGTTGGAATTTCACTAATTTCATGCCTTTTTCTCTATGCAACAAGTCTTCATATTGTGATAGTCAGTTTTTCATGCTGATAACTGAATGATGAGCTGATGTTCTTCCTGGGTTCGTGTCTCACAAAGTTGAAGAATAAAATTGTGGACCAGAAGATTTAAGCAAGGGGTGTAGGATTTATTCAAGCAGATACAGACTCCCTGCACAGGGAGGGGACCCAAGAAAGGGTACCCACTGAAGCTCACTTGTCTACGGGTTTTTATCCACCATAGACTCACTCTTTGTCTATCCATGTCACTCTCTGATTGGCTCCTTCTATCTGCCTTGCCTAGGAACAGTTTCAAAGCCCACTCACTGATCCCCGTATTTTCTTTTTTCCTCCCCCTTCTTTTGACCTTTCTGCCGTATTCTGCACTTGCAAGATAAACATCCTAGTGGTTTGGAGCTTGGCTTTACAGTCATGTACACATTTCTTTTCCTATATGTCCTACCTTACCTGCCTATCTTGTCTCCAACTCCTCTCAGTTCCCCCTTTGATTAGGAAACCCCAACTGCTGTTGGGAACAGAGTTGACAACTATTCTGGCTGCTTCCTGCTGAGTAGGGGCGTAAGTTGAAGCAGTTGTCAGAGGTCCCATTTAAGGTGAGCCATCTAGAGGTCCACAGAAGAAGGATGTGACTTTCATCAGTGGCTCCATCTGCGGGACCATTTAGAGCAGTGGTTCTCAACCTTCCTAATGCCACGACCCTTTAATACAGTTCCTCATGTGGTGGGGACCCCCAACCATAAAATTATTTTCGTTGCTATTTCATAACTAATTTTCCTACTGCTATGAATCGTAATGTAAATATCTGATATGCAGGATGTATTTTCTTTTTTTTTTTTAAACAAGTTTAGCAAAAATAGACGCAGGATGTATTTTCATTGTTCGCGTCCCACAGGTTGAGAACCGATGATTTAGAGCTTTACAGGCTCTGTGTAAGAAAAAAAAATGCATTAGAGGGTTTAACAAGAGCCAAAGTTGAGTGCCAGGAGGAGCATAAAGAGGGGATCCAGCTAGAGGTAAAAGCCAGGAGGCCCAGTTAATATTCTGTAGCCAGGTGCCTCCAGATTCCGAAAGTTGTCAGACCTTCGAGGCTCTATCGACGAAATCCTTACCTTCATCCCTTACTATGGGAGACTGGTTGGCATAAAAACTGCATTCTTCCTCTAGGAATAGGCATAGTCCCCCTTTCTCAGCTGTGAGAAGGTCAAGTCCTCTCTAATTTTGGAGGGTAACCCAAATTAGCTAGAGTCCATCTGGTCTTGTAATGCGACAATACTCTGGGAAATTTCTTCCAAGCTTTCTGTAAGGTCTTTAGATGTCATCCCCTGGCAGCTAAGGTATCTCACCCAGGAGGGGCACAGGGCTTTCTGGCATAATCAGGAAGGCCTGGGAAAAGAACAGCTCACCCCAGCTACACCCTAAAGGCTCAGAAAAATAGCTCTTTATGGGCTTTCCAGACACACCGGTGAAGGTCACAGCCTCTGAGGCTGTTTGACCGGGGTTCGAGAGTGCTGAGAAAGTGGCTCCAGTATGGAGGAGGATTACCCGGGGCTTCTGGGAGGAGTTCAGAGTCCTATGGGGAGCCAGGTAGGGAGGCTCCAGGGCCTGCCTGGACCAGTTGGGTCATCAGCTCAGTTCGGTTCCCTGGGACTTCCCGTAGTTTCCATTACAAACAGGACAGGGCTTAGGTGGCCATTTTGCTCGCCCTTTCCTCCACTGAATAGCCTTTGCACCTTTGTCAAACAGTTGAGTATGTTTGATGTATATTGTTTTTTTGTTGGATCTCTCTATTCTGTTCCTCTTACGTATATGTTCATCCTTTCACAAATACTGTCAATACCAATGCAACATACCAGTGTTGAAATATGTTGATAACAACCCTGTATGATGGTTCTTTTTAGTCAGAATTGTTTTCCTATTTTCAGTCTAGGAACCTGACAAATACTAGCTTTACCAGGAGATCCATGTTAACTCATTTTGGTATTTTCTAATCCTGAATATGGCATGATGAGAAAGAGACTTCAATTCCCAAATTCATAACCCCTGTTTAGTGAGGGAACCTTACACCAACCCAAAGGATGGATGAATATACAAAATACCTGGTTAGTAATCCTCTAAATAATTGAGGCCATAAATGAGAAAAAGACTGAGAAATGGTTACAGAGCAGAGATACTAGTAATTAAGGAAATGATCTCTAAATGCAATATTGTGTTTTGGATTGAATCCTGGGACAGATAAAGGATTGAACTGGAAAAACTTGTGAAATCCAAGTAGAATCTGTAATTTGGTTGTGCATTATGCCAGTTAATATCTCAATTTGACAAATGTAGCATGGTTATATAAAATGTTCACATGATGGGAAGACAAATGAAGTTATAGGGGAACTCTTTGCAGAAGTACCTTGTGACCTTTGTGTAAATATAAAATTTTGACAAAATATGAAGCTTATTAAAAATAGTTCTAATTTGTGTCAACTATAATACAATAAAACTGGATGAAATAGGTAGATGTAATTTTCTTTTAATTTCTCAAATGTATTTCTATATTATACATTTCTTATAATACATTTTTATTGATTTCAGAGAGGAAGGGAGGGGGAGAGAGAGATAGAAACATCAATGATGAGAGAGAATCATTGACTGGCTGCCTCCTGCATGCCTCCTACTGGGGATTAAGCCACAACCCTGGCATGTACCCGTGACCGGAATCAAACCTGGGACCCTTTAGTCCGCAGGCTGACGCTCTATCCACTGAGCCAAACCAGCTAGAGCTATATTATACATTTTTTATGTATACATATTTGTAATTAATATTAAGTGGCTATAATAACATCCTGAGTGAACTAGAAGGATGGTAACTAGTGTCACATAGAGGTTATGCTTTAATGTAATCCTGAAATATGTTTCGGTTCTTAAAAACCACTTCTTGCAAGAAATTTCCCACCACAAGCTGCCTGTTG